CATCCATCCATCCATCCATCCATCCATCCATCCATCCATCCATCCATCCATCCATCCATCCCATGCATCTTTTACATGCATTTTTAGGTACGCGAATCATAAAAATCGTGATAGCGCCTCGTACCCAGTGAAACTTTGCAGGTTTTTGTGTGTAACAAGATAAATAGATGTGATAGATATTTCAGTGGCAGTTACAAATTGATACTGCCAGAATTAAGAGCCGCAAAGCACTTGAATGGCTGCCAGTAATGGCCCAGGAGCAGAAGACGTCCGCTGCCTGCACGCGCCTCTCGTTCCTCAATAAACAATTGTATCGGGCCAGTTGGTAAGGATCCATCTTGCTAGGAAGCGCAGTCACTATGACATAGAACACACAACACAAGCGCTTAACTTCAACTAACCGTTTATTGCAAATGCCAGAGTTTATAAAGGGGGTGAAAAGAGAAAAAGAATAATAAAAGGTAGACAACAAAAAGCACACGTGTCGTTGAAGAAGTCCTGTTTTCACCTCATGAAGAAGAGCTTTGAGCAACAGGTTTTGTGACTGAAGGCAGCAGGTTACCCGCAACGAATGGTTATAAGCGTTGCTGAATCGCTACATAGGGACCTAAAGAAACAAAATAGGCAGCGTATTAACACTTCCCTGCAGCAGCGTAAAACGGCTGTTGTCCCCTATATTCATAGTGTGGCACACAATTTTAAAAAAATTGGTAATAAGGTGGGCGGTCGTCCGAGTGGTCATGTCTGCTCCAGAAAAACTGTCCAGAATATGTCACTAAACTTGTCCTGTTTCAAAAGAAAAGAAAGGATGCCAAATTAAGCATCGCAATAAATATGTTGAGTGTGCACAGTCGGTTGTTTACAGAGTGCCCTTGTCATGTGGTCATGTTTATGTGGGAACAACTGAAAGATGCATTATTGAGAGGCTAAAAGAGCACCACAATAAAGTGCAGAAGGGTACCGATGGTCACTCTGCGATCCATTGTAAGGAGTGCGGTTGTGTGCCTTAATTCGATAACACGTGCGTGTTATATCGGGACAGAGATTTATCAACCCGTTTGATAGTAGAAGCAACGGAAATGACACGCGATGATTTTGAGTGTGTTAGTGCACCCTCTATCTCGCTCACGCGGAAAGAACTACGTTTTTTGGATGGGGTGACATAGACAATAAAGGATAGCAATGTACGGGACTGGCACGCGTGCTTTTTGTTGTCTACCTTTTAGTATTCTTTTTCTCTTTTCACCCCCTTTATAAACTCTGGCGTTAGCAATAAACGTTTAGTTGAAGTTAAGCGCTTGTGTTGTGTGTTCTATGTAATAGTGGCTGTGCTTCCTAGCAAGATGTCTCGTTCTCGCTCGCATGTTGCGGGCTCGCATGCGTGCGTGGCCTTGCTTTCTCTCTCTTTAGTGCGCGCAGTGGCAGTGGCTTCAGTGCATTTCGCCTGCGGCGCTGACTGATTGCGCGCGCTTTTTACGCGGGGATGATGGAGAGTGCTTTGCAGAATTCGAGCAATGCTTCTTCACAATGTGCATTCCGATTAAACCCCCCAAAAACGCGCGTGTCTTGCTCTCTAGAGAAAGATGCACTCACCCCGACCCTGACATTCAATTGCATGGTCAACGTCTGTCTGTTAATTCCGAATACAAATTCTTAGGCCTAATTCTGGACACCTACCTAACCTTCGTACCACTCATTAGGTATCTAATAAACAAGTGCATCGGAACCATGAATGTTCTAAAAGTGCTGTCGCGCACTATGTGGGGGAGTGACAAGAAGTGTCTCATGAACTTGTACAGTAGCCTCGTACGCACTCGCTTGGATTATGGAGCAATAATCTATCAGTCTGCGACACCCACTGCCCTAAAGATGCTTGACTATATTCACCACCTAGGCATTCGCCACTCTACGGGTACCTTTCGCACTAGCTCCGTTGAAAGCCTGTACGTGGAATCGAACAAATGGTTACTCCACCTACAGAGATGTTACATGTCTTTTTCTATACTATCTCAAAGTGAAGGCAGACAAGGACCACCCTTCACATTTCACAATTGATGACACGTATACTTCTGTTCTGTTTGAAAACCGTCCATCTTTGAGAAAACCCTATTCACTACGTGTGAGGGGCTTTTCTGAGGAAACCGGTGTGTCGCTCGAATATCGTCTGATGGCTCCTACAGCATGCCCGCCACCATGGTGGGGGCATTTGATAGATTGTGATGTGTCTTCTTTAAATATTACAAATCATGCACCCATTGCACATATCCGAACATACTTCCTAAAACTACAACAAAAGTACACATGCCCTGAGTTCTTTACAGATGCCTCAAAGTCCAACACTTCTGTTTCATACGCAGCCATTGGCCCACCCTTCTCAGATACTGGCAGTCCTGCATCCTGATGCAAGCATTTTTACAGGAGAAGCCCACGCTACGCTTGCAGCTGTTAAACGCATTGTACATATAAAACTACAAAAAGCGGTAATTTACACGGATTCTCTGAGTGTGGAGAAAGCCTTGAAAACACTTAAAAAACGCAAAACCCGGTTCTTGAGTCTCTTTATTCACTCTATGCACAGTCTACTCATTCAAACAGCATATTGTAGTCTGCCGGGTGCCGGGTCACCGTGAAATACAGGGAAACGTTTTGGCAGATCAGCTGGCTGCATCCGCCAGCAACGATGCCGCTAATGCATCAATACCAATTCCTGCACTTGACATGAAACCTTTCCTGAAGTGAAAGCTCAGAGGTTATTGGCAAAACATGTGGGATAGACACACAAGTAATAAACTACATGTTATTAAGCCACAACTTGGTCATTGGCCGCCACTATCAAAATCACGACACACAGAAATAACACTTACAAGGCTAAAAACAGGGCATACATACTCCACACATTCATATATTCTGTCTGCCAGTGATCCACCATTGTGTGCGAGATGTGGAGAACCACTTACGGTTCTCCACATCCTCGTCCAGTGTAATGAGTTGGACGCTCTAAGGAAAAAGCACTTTTTACTGCCCTACCGACAGCAGCTCCCAATACACCCTGGGATGCTTATCGGTAGGGATCCGATTTTTAAAATTCACTCATTGTTTACGTTTCTAAATGATGTACATAGTTTTCACTGCATATTTCAAGGTGATCTGTAGCAGGACCTGTGGTGACTACATCTCCGCCATAGTCTTATTATCATAACCTTTCGACATTCACTCTCACTGCACATATTTCACGCCACTGTCATGATTTCAATACTTACGTTCTCACCCGTGTTAGCGCGAGAAATTTTAAGGCCCCTTTACAGCCACGCATCATATCATTGTTCATATTTCTAGTATATCTAAATGGAGCTCTTTGGCCATCAATTGGCCCTTGCGCCTTTAAAAAAATCACTAATCATCATCATCTCCTTCTTCTTCACAATGAGGCGGAAGCGTCTTGTGCCCAAATGGAACAGTGGTTACGCATCCTGCAAAGAGAATTACCTTCGAAGTTTCTAGCGACATGGTCACGTTGGAAGCGTGGGCACGCGCCATACCCAAGAAGGATTGCGAACTGATGTCTGGTGACTGTTTGTGAGAAGCACTTCTCGGGCGGTGACTCTGCCACGCCATGTTCCATGACATGCTACATGACACTGCGGGACATTCATATAGCTTTTTTTTCTTTCGTAGCAGCTTTCATGCAGTGTTCTAGCTTTGTAGTCGAACAGCTGCATGCCACGAAGATTGCATGGGTATGATTCCTACCTACTACCGAAGACATTTGTATCTTTCTAATTTCGCGTTCACGGACAACGCTGATTCTTTTTTTTTCTCTCTGCTAACGACACCGACGCCGGCCTTCCTGCAAAACGAGCTCTGTTACGCTGTCGCGTTAAAATTTAGAGCGGGCGAGGATGCACTGAAACGCCCAGTTGGACTTGAAGTGAGAACGGCGAATCGGAGGAGAGTTGCCTTGAACGAGAGCAGGGTGAGAGTGGCGTGCGCGTTTTTCCTCCGCTTGCAGAGTTTCACGACAGAGGGCGCATAAGTGTCGTGCCCGCTAGAGTTACTGTATATGTATATGTATATGTATATGTATATGTATATGTATATGTATATGTATATGTATATGTATGTAAAGGTAGCATATAGAGTAACTCCAGTGCCCGCTTTCGTGACTTTTTCAGGGCGCCCGAGGGAGTGCAGTTTCGCCTACTCAAGAATTCTCGCTCCGTAGCTGTGATTAGTCTATACAGCCACCAAGCGAGAAGTTTGTGCGGAATAGGGTCCCTCGATGCGCGCGCCCCTTGTAGGGGCAGCCATCTATCTATCTATCTATCTATCTATCTATCTATCTATCTATCTATCTATCTATCTATCTATCTATCTATCTATCTATCTATCTATCTATCTATCTATCTATCTATCTATCTATCTATCTATCTATCTACAAATTTGTGCTCTCGCGGCCGTTTCGTTAACGACGAAGTCACTTACCCTGCCTAGCATAACACGCACGGTTACGCCAGCTTTTTCTGTGGTTCGCCTCGCGCTCACTCAATGTCGATCACAAACAAAATCCGGCGAAAGGTTCTGCCCTACCGTATATTCTAGATTGCCTTTATCCCTTCCCCAGTGCGGGGTAGCAAACCGGATGTGCGTCTGGGTAACCTCCCTGCCTTTCCTTGCATCTTTATCTCTCTCTCTCTCTTGATTTAGGCTGACACGCGCAGTTTCAGCAATACAGCCGCTTATGGCTGAGACACCAACAGCACCTTATAAACAAAAAGCTTATGATGTATATCTTAATGTCGTATACGCTTGTCTTTATTTTCACACATGGCCGTTTTATAACATATTCATGACATCACACAAAGGATGCGCCATTCTTTTGTAACAGGAATCATGAGTGTATCGGCGCGTGGGTCCGTCTGTTGCTCACCCACGACATGTCTCACTAAATCCATATCGCTGCCGATGCCGATGCTGCAGCGCCATGGCGGCCGGCACCGGAAGCAGGGCGGCGGAGGCGGTTTCATGACGGATGTACGAGGTACGATACACGTACACTTAAAGATTCACACTTCCTTCGGGTGGGCGGTTTGTACTCGCCAGTGTGTTCGGCAATACTGTACCGTCGCGGAGGCCGCGCTGAAAAAAACGTGCAGTGGGCAATGGCACTAGAGGAAATAAACTCAGCGATTCTCGAGTGCACTCCGGAAACGTGCGATGCCTACCTCTGCAGCAAGTCGATCAAGTGCGGGTGCCTACTGAACGGCATTGCTTCATCATCGCAGTCAGTGTGCGGCAACTTGTGGCACAAGCACTGGCTGGTGGCCTTCGATTACGGCGGAAACGAGCTGCTCGTCTGCGAAGCTACCAAGGACCGTAAAAAGGAGCTCATAGGGCGTTGGTCCTTGGAGGAGAAGACGGCCGTCCACAACGTATACTCGTACGAGGCAAGTAACAGTGATGCTGCTCTAATGCAGTGGCTTCATTCCAACATGAACAGTTTTTTCGCTCCGATGACCACATGCCGTATAATAAGCTCATCCGCCGTGAGATTCGTTTTACTTGGCATGCAAAGCGTAAATTCAAACTAGCTTTAGCGGGAGTTATGATGCCTCGCCTTTTCACGTGAATGGTCATTTAGAAACATTAATTGGGTCCATCCGCAATTGTGCACTGAAAACACACTGACTGCAAAAAAAGATATAATGCAATTTCTCTTAAGCATAACGCAACGCAATAAGCTAAACGTATACTCTACGTGCTCATATAAGGTAATCGACATGCTTATGTACATACCATATGAGAGTACCTGATGCACGTGTTTCGTGACCAATCGAGCACTTTGCACATTTAGGTTTATTTTTCAACTGAATACATGCGTCACACTTGGCCACGCGTTCACAGCTAGCAGCTTCGCGGCGATCGGTCATGAGGGAGGATTATCGCTGTACGTATACCTATAAAATATTTTCCGTAAACATCTGAACGTCACCATCTTGCGCTGTTTAACCGTTGTTTTCTTTTTGTGGTTGAAAACGCGAACCACGGAGGTTAAGAACCCAATATAACCGCACTCTTACCCACCCGTGAAATCCCTCATACTCCTATTCTGCACAGTCGACCATTATGTTCGAGGTGCGATGCGCTAGGATTGGCTCGGCTGCATGTCAACCGCATAATCACGGTATTCAATGTGGATACCATTAGTCATAATCAAACTGGGCAAAACAGTAAAAGGAAAAAGAAAAAGGGGATAAGATTCACGTACACAGAGCGCTGATACCGCAACAGTGATATCCGTTACTGATGCAAGCATTTCTATTGCAAATATAGACATGGGCGGCACATAATCGCAGTTTGGATAGATAGATAGATAGATAGATAGATAGATAGATAGATAGATAGATAGATAGATAGATAGATAGATAGATAGATAGATAGATAGATAGATAGATAGATAGATAGATAGATAGATAGATAGACAGACAGATAGATAGATATATAGATAGATAGATAGATAGATAGATAGATAGATAGATAGATAGATAGATAGATAGATAGATAGATAGATAGATAGATAGATAGATAGATAGATAGATAGATAGATAGATAGATAGATAGATAGATAGATAGATAGATAGATAGATAGATAGATAGATAGATAGATAGATAGACGATGACGATGGATGGATGATGATGGATGATGATGTTGAGAAACGACGGACGAGCGTGCAAAATGTTTACATCTTCCGACGTTTTGGTGCGAGGGCCTGTCATTTCTCTCAGTGTTTCAACAGGAGGGTCTGAATTCGTCAGGGACCATGGCAAGCGCTCCTGCCGAAAGGTTGGAAGAAAAATAAACGTTTTCTCACGTTCGTTGGTCGTTTTTGAACGCATACAAAGCACCGGATCTGCGAAAACACCTGTTGATACATACATACATACATACATACATACATACATACATACATACATACATACATACATACATACATACATACATACATACATACATACATACATACGTACGTACATACATACATACATACATACATACATACATACATACATACATACATACATACATACATACATACATACATACATACATACATATTCTACACTAATGTGAGATATACGTGGAGGCACAGGAGGAAGCCAAGTTGCAAAGAGAATAATGAATGCTGCAGTGAAGAAACAAGGAACGTTATGTGATCGGAACTGGTTTGTTGTATTTGACCTAGCTGGAGCATATTCATATTTAATTTTTCGCGCAAGCAAACGGGGACAAAGATGAGAAACACACAGATGGATGCAATTTTTTTTACCAGATTGCGCTGATCTGAGGGGTTTTTACGTGACCGTTTTCAAAAAGATAAACCAGTTGTTGGAGAGTTAAACAAAAACCACAGCATATCCACGGAGTGAATGATGAGTGGGGCGTAGCGTCCATCCATCCGTCCGTGCGTCTGGTTGCCTGTCCGTTCGTCCGTGTGTCTATCCGTCCATGCGTCAGTATGTCTGTCCGCTTGTCCATCCATCCGTGCGTCGATTTAATAAACACTCAACGTAGCGCCATCTCGCAAATTTTTATGATGTATTAATCATATACAAATACCGCCTTCCGGCGGACATTGTAAAGACTAAACAAAAGGTGGCTACTACGACGACGACGCGGGACATTCTACCCACAGGCGTAAGGAGCTTCAGCCCCCAAAGCTCATCTTTCTTCCCGTGTGCTTGCGCAAAAACTCTAATCAGAATATGTTCCAACTAGGCCAAATTGCAGCTTTGCGCGCCGGTTTGGTTGTTCTATGAGTTACACACTGGATTTAAGTGATGTGCATTAAATCTGAGGTGTAATCAGGACAAGGTATCAGTAAAAAAAAAGGCCGCCTGCATCCTCTCACGGGGGAACTCAAGTAAACGCGTTGAAGTGGGGGGTGGGGGGGGGGGCTTAATCCGGAAGACACTGCGCTCGCTAACACCAGTGAGCTCGCTGACTTTCCGACATGCGGCTCTCACAGACAGCTGCGGGTCGCTTTTCCTTACTTGCGCGTAAACGTTGTACGCCACCTTCTTGGCCTGTACGGACAGCTTTTGATTTGACAACGCCTGGTACGGCTGCGCAGCTGGTGGACTCGCGGCACGTGGCGGTGTTTTCTCCGTAAGCGACGTTGACGAGCTGTAACCGGCAGACGCCATCTTTGACAGTGAGGAATGCGGTGAGGTAAAAAGGCGACGGAAGCCAAAAAAACCCCAAAAAACCTGAGAGAGCGTGAAACGAAATTTTTTCTACTGCGCAACGTTTTTATTCACTAATTAAAAAATAAATCCGCGAAAAATTCATGTGACGAATGGTAAAATCTTAGTTACCCAGAACAGTATACAAACGTTTTCGTTGAGGGGCTACATGCTGTGGCGCAGTAAGACAAGCGTGCTTCGGCTCCGTAGCCTTGGGTATGATTTCGGAATGCTTAATTTTTATTTGTTCTTTGTTAATCCTATTCATTGAATGAAGGAGAAGCGTTGCCTTAAACGACTGGTGGGACGCTGATGTGCGATTCAGTACCTACATTTACGGGGTGGCCAGTGAACGGGGCGCATTGCGTTGTGCAGCTCGAGCAGTCGGTTTTCAGTAGCAGACGCTGCCTGCGTCAGCCTTGCGAGACGAGAGAGGGAGGGGGAAAGCAAAGAGTTGGCACGAGACGCAAGCATGCGGCACGACACGTGAGACGTGGAGATGCGCAGTTTGGGCCCGGACATCGCCGTTGACGCACGATGCACGACATTGTGCGACTCAGAAATGCTCCGCATTTAAAACAGAGCCGCCTCGCATTTAATACTCACGGTAAGAGGATAAATGTAAAGCTGCTAAGGGTGATATCGTCTTGTCAAGCTTTGCGTAGAGAGAACCGCTGAACAATATCAGGTTCAGAGGTATGCTGAAGGATTGTTCAGGCATTTTGCAAAGGAACAGCGAGAACTCGGAAGGCCACCGGCAGGTATGCAGTTGACAGTGTGGACGACGTGGTAAGAAAGAGCGTTAACAGAACGTCATCGAAATGGAGGAAATTACTCGCAAGCGGCGATGGAAGAAAAGTCGGCTCTAGACAACTAGAGAAAGGATGAGGAGGGAACCGAGAGAGGAGGAGAAAAAGCTTAGAAGGCCCAACCGCATGCACGCAATTTTCTAACGACCGCGACAATCGAAAGAGACGAGGGACAAGACTTGCTGTCGCGGAAGCCCATCCGTCGCCGCCGCTTGTCGCAATGTCGCGTCGCCCGTTTCTGGAAAAACAGAACAGATAGCTTGTGACCCGGAAGCCAGCGGGGCGATTTCCGGCAAGATGGCTGTGCCCCTGCAGTCCTCGCTGCGTTTGCAATTTGCTCTCGATGCTTGTTATCCGCTCGTACTTCAAGGAGTGCGAGGTATCGACCATAGAGTTCCTAATATACACTAGAGGGAACTCAGGTGCTAGTGCCTATTGGAGAGCTGCAACACACGGCGCTTCAGCGAGCATGGGAATGATGGGTAGTGCACACATTTGTCTAATCTTTGTACTTCTGGCCTTCTTCTGACTCCGTGTGTGTTCGTGTGGCTTGGAGCTGTTTTTTACGAAAACATAAATTAGCAAATGTTCACCGTTTGCGCTTTACAACGTTATTCTTTTAGACTTACCATTTCGAATCAAGTCACTAAGTTCGAAAAGGTTCGTTCTTTCTTTCAAAAGAACTCCGTAACCAGCAATAAACGAAGCCGCAAGTACGATTCGCCGCCCGCAAGTACGAAGACTAGCACAATGTGTGTACTACCAATCATTCCCATGGTCGCTCAACGATGGCAGCGCCAGAGTGCCCTCTAGTTAATTTTGGGAAACTCTATGGTATCGACCACCTTTTCTACATGCTCATCTCGCTCGGACAGTGAGAGAGCGGCTGTATTTTGTCGTAAATCTTGTTATCTCAAGGTTTGTTTGATGTTTCGACGGTAGCTAGTGACAACCATGGTCGCTTGCTGCAATGCGAAATCGTCATGCGAAGTGCGTCATAGCAGTCGCAGCGTACGCTCCTGGCGGGGCAACCTGTCGCGGTTAAACCGAAGATTGCGAAAAAAGAAGGTCGTGAAACGCTTTTCTGGCTTCTTTATGTCACACAAGACAGCAATATACTTCGCATGCTGTCATCGAGCTACGTTTAAACTTATTTTCCCAATTTATGGGTATGCGCGCGATTGTTTATCAATCTAGCAACAATGACACTTTGTCGCCGACAAGTGGTTTCAGCCGTGGAGAAATTCCTTCCTGGTTGCAGCCAACGAGACGCGAAGGCGCGACGGGGCAAGTCTGTCACTGTCGCTAGTAAATCGCGGGAATGTGGTTGGGTCTTTATATCGAGCAAGCGTGGCCTGTCCCCTAATTGGGTGACCTTCAGAGGGCCACGGTCACCTTTAGAGCCTGTTTAGCAGGCAAATACTTCATTATAAATCAGAGGAAAACGCTTTACAGATTAAGACAAGCTCGAGTAGTTCTGCAATGCGTACTTCGAAGCACAAGCGTGCACAGAAGTTTCCTGAAGGGGATCAGCTTGTAGGATGTGGGAGGTGGTTCTTGCTAGTGTTAGCTTGTAGAAAGACCTCGTAGGCTTTATTTTACTCTATTGGGGCCATACATTAAAAAAATTCAGTAAGGTGGGGGGTCAGGACATCCAACACCCCCCCCCCCCCGCTCCCTCTCCTGAATATATCAGTGCATACATTGCAACTCCGTGAAGCACCATAAACTCATGTACTCTTCTGGACCTTAGATAGCGAATCTATGAAATACGCTTTCGTGAATGTAAAAAGTATCCGCAGTACTCTAAAATTAGAAAAAAAAATGTCCTTTCACTCTTTTTTTTTCAGATTGATGACTTGCACACGTATACGCCTCTGTTTAAAGAGTCACGTGGACTTCCTCTAGGGGTCATTATAATACCGTCTCTCCTATCATTAGGGAGCCGCAAATTTTTTTTATCTAACAGAACAGTGATGAACGTGTATATATATATATATATATATATATATATATATATATATATATATACTTCGTCGAACCGGATGGAGTGTTCGATTCAATGTATGTCGTGGAGACGGAGACTGCAATTTTCGTTCATTTGGCACTCTATTTTGACGATCTCGAGAATATAGGAACAGTACTAATATAATGCTAGGCTAAGTCCACGAAAGAAACTAACAAAAAGCAGCATTTCCGACTCGTTCTGCTTTTGGCGTTTAATCGAGTTGTGAAAGCCACAAATCCTGCTCGAGAGATTTATAAAGTGCGTGGCGAAGGATAATTGCCTGTAGAAACGGCTCAAATTCACTTTTAACACTCCAAAGACAGCGATTTCGCCATCAATGACATGTGATTCTTTAGGAATAGAGTTAAAAGATAAAATGAAACAAATTCCATATATAACAGCCGCATCTTGCCAGTATTTACCTGCGGAGCAGAAACCTGGACGCTTACAAAAAGGGTTCAGCTTCAATTGAGGACGACGCAGTGAGTGATAGGAAGGAAAATGATAGGTGTAGCCTTAAGAGACAAGAAGAGAGCAGAGTGGATTAGGAAACAAATCGGGGTTAAGGATAATATAGTTGAAATCAAGAGGAAAAAATGTACATGGGCCGGGTACGTAGAAAGGACAACCACTGGTCACTAAGGGTACTCGACTGTATTCCCAGAGAAGGCAAATGCATGAAGGGGAGACAGAAAGTTAGGTGGGCCGACGAGATTGAAAAGTTTGCCCTTACAACGTGGCAACAGAAAGTACAAGACCGGGTTGATGGGCGGATCATGGGGCATGCCTTTGTCCTACAGTGGCGTAGTCAGGCTGAGGATGTGCACGGACACACATAAAGCATGGTTACCCCCCCCCCTCCCCCAACCTGAAATGTTTGCGGCTACGTTATTGGTATAAGGCATTCGTCCTTGGGTATATACGCAATGCCATGTGAACTAAAGCTTTCGGGGCCTCGAGCGCTTGCATACCCAGCAATAAAAATCTCTATACTTGCGTTATCGTGACTTCCGCGCAATGTGCACGTCCTTGCAATTCTAGAGAGTTCCAATAAGGCGCAAACCAATGTACGCCGTAGAACGGAAAACTTTACATGTACAGACATGTCATGAGCATACATAATCAACACCGAAAGTGCTACTATAAGCTATGCGCTATTCATTAGCGAATCAAGGTCACCCTGTTTAGCGGTGCCGTTTACGGCGGATCAGGATGAGCTAGTTGCACTGGGTGACCAGACGAGTCGGCAGGCGGGTAGTTGTGACTTCGAGTGCGCTTCCTTCTCTAACCTCTTCCACCGTGTTCCGAAGAAAGAGGAAGCACGCTTCGCTACCGTACAGCCTTACCGTATTTGCTATAGCGTACTTCGGTAACTTGCTAGAAGATTCTGTCAGCCTCTTCAGCCGAATTTCGAACATTTAAAAATCACGCAATTATGCTCGAGTGCTGTATTTACGTTCTGCGTAGTTTGACCGTGCAATATCGTGGTGTGTAGCGTGGTGCAACGCGCGCTATCGTAGAACTGCCTAATGAACTATTTCCCACGAAGAATGGCTACCAGCGTTGCTGCTTTAACGATTGAAGCAGCGCTAAAGACGAAAAGAACACAAAAGTGTTCATTTCGTATTCGTCGTTAGCGCTGCCTCAAACACGTAAGCATTCCAACTAGCCCAACTTTCCATTCTACTGCTGCTTTCACCTGCACCGTCGGTGTCCCGGTGTTCTCTTACAGACTGACATATTCCCTCTCGCTCTTCATTCGCAGAGACACCTGGGAGAGCACACGCTACCGAAGGCGCGCGTCGAGGACGTCGTGAAGGAGATGCGCTACATGGGCAAGTACCACGCGACAGAGAACAACTGCCAGAAGTGGGCCATGGAGCTGCTGCGTCGACTCCGAATACAGGCGCCACCGGACCAGCTCGACGCGGAGACCGTGGTCGGCAGCGCCAAGCCAGCCATCATCACTACCATCGTCGGAATAGTGCTGGCCGGTGCTGTCGTGATTGTGAAAGGCACTTTTGGGGTGTGCAGCTAGCGCCAACCAAGGCGTGGCGGCGAGTCCTCTTTCGGCGATGTGCCACTGAGCCACTCGTCATTATTGTGTTTATTTATCAATACCTTCAAGCTGAAAATGCGTTACAAAAGTGAATCATAATAAAAAAAAAGAACTGCTTGTTCGTTTGCCGCTATAGTTTAAAATATGATATTCGCCAGCGAACTAAAAGGTGGTAACATATGGAGCGGTGAAAATGGAAGTGAACAGGAGGTTCTATTCTGTAGCGTTCACCGGTCCGGAAGAATCATAAAATCAGTTATTCATGACAGACAGGTGCTCATGATGGAAATTAGTGTGACCTCACAAATAAGATGCTAAATAATAACCATTCTTCGACGATGGTGTATAATTAAATAACTGACCAGAACCCTCTGTACTGCTCAATTTTCGTGTCCACGCATTTGTAGACTGGAGTCTAAGACTGTCTTGACATTCTCAAATCACTGTTAAAAATGCGCCCGGGATAAACCTGCTTTTACATGTGGGCACTTGTTCGTGGAACAACATTTATGTAACAATGTTTTTTATTGTGATTTTTGAGCAGTATGACGAAGAACTGTATCCTAATTGTTCTTTTATTATTTTCTTTGCATGCTGACCCGACCAGTCGTGAAAACGTTTATGGTAGAAGTTTTATTTCCTATGTTTCGTATTTTACCCTAATATGCCGATCCACTGATGTTACGTATATCTCGTGAGAGGCGGCTGGAGTGAGACGCTGTGCGGACGTGTTTCGCATGAGCTCCGGCCCGGTGACCGACTATCGGCGGACGCGCTTTTTTCTGGACTTGCTGTCAGTGGGCTCGTCTGCAGGAGGTTGCCCTGTACCTACGGACACCACTCATATAGGCAAGTTTGTCCCCGTTTTTTGGAGTTTCCGAGATTTTCCTATCAACCCCGCGGTGGCAAGGCTAGGCCTATCTCCTAGGCCAAGCCTGGCCTGGGCCGCGTCGCCCGGCGTCTGACTTGCGCCCGGTGACCGTGGGTCTTGTTGGGCTGAAGATGGAGTACTACGTCGAAGGGGAGACTATAACACCCGAAGATTTTGAAGCGGGAGAGTGGGCTCCAGTGCTGAAGGCACAGGACCGATTTAAGAAGACTCGGCATGGCGACAACGCCAAGAGTAAGCCTTGCGAGACGCAGGCCGGCAGCGACGGGCGCAAGACGCACGGAGCGCAGCAAGACAAGCGGGGGAAAGCGCCGGTATGGAAGAAACGCGGACCGTTTCTCAAGTTGCCAGCCACGGATTTCAAGATTGTGTACAGGCCCCAGAACTGGGACTTGAGTGTTGTGACAGCGAGAGAACTCGGATGTGCACTGAGAGCAGCAGCGCGTCTAACGAGTGCGATTGCCGCGGAAGAAGACATTGTGCGGGTTAATGGCACAAACAACACGTTGACGGTGAGCACACCGTGCATAAATTGCAGTGGGGCATATGCGACTGTGAAGACGCTCAAGCTGGGTGATCGTGACCTGCCGGTTTCGGCGTTCGTGGCGCCGTTGGAGAACTCCGTGCGGGGAGTGATTTATAATGCTTATGATGGATGCCCAGTGGAAGAAGTTCGGGCGGGATTCCTGAAGAAGAATGAAGGCATAGACATTCTGGACGCGAGACCTCTGGGAAAGTCAAAGGCGATTCAGATTACGTTCGGGGGAAAACACATACCCCGGCAGATTACTTACTGGAACTGTCTGTACGCTGTGATCCCGTACAGAAATTTAGTCGACACCTGCTACAACTGCAGACGAGTTGGACATCGAGCGGACGTTTGCTATCGTCCGAAGACCAACCTATGTCACCGTTGCGGGAAGGACCATCCTGCCCCGCCAGAAGGAGAGCCACCTACGTGCACGTCGGTCTGCATCGTGTGCCATGGTGCGCATCACACAGGGAGCCGGAACTGCAAGTTTCGCCTGGCTCGCAAGCCACCGACAGGCCGACAGCACAGCATCGAAAGAGAGAGCGAAGCTGGCAACGATAAGCGTTCCTCGAGGACCACGGAGCGGTCACCGAGAGGTAAAGAAGGCAGAAGCAAAAGCAGGGACCGGTCGAGTTCCTTCCCGCCATTGCCAGGGCGCGGGGGCGGCCAAGATGGTGGACGAGCATCCAGTACCAACAGCTGCGCACGCGACACCAACAAAAAGGTGAGCTTGTCAGGCACGGCCTCCCAGAACGAAACCGCTCGAGAGAGGGAGTTAGCAGCGCTGGTTCAGCGACAGGGAGACTTGATTAAAAGAATGGAAAACAGAATTGCAGAGATGGAACGCGCACTTAGAAACGACCAACGGCAGGGGACACAGGCACCAGCAGTGCAAGGCCTACAGAAAGCGACGCAAGAGGCGTCTGCTCGCGTACAGGAGAGTGCAGCTATGGAAGTGGAGAATCGAGGGACAGTGAAGAGACCACTGCCGGGGGATGAGGTAGCTAACGCAAAACGATTAGCCGAAACGTCACCAGTAGACATGCCACAGCCTGTTTTTAAGGTTATTAGTCTTAAGTCGGATGTAACAACACTTGCGGACAAAGTAGGCAAACAAGGGAAAAGACAGGATAGGTTGGAGGCTCGAGTCGAAAAGATCGAAGCCAGATTAGACACAATAGAGGAGCGTCTCGGCATGCTCTCCACTGAATTTAAGGATTCCCAAACCCAGGTCATGGGCATGTTTCAGCAGCTTCATACTCTATTGGAGGCAAGACTGCCTCCCGTGGGTGGCCAAGTGCCATTAGTCAACCTGGTGCCTCATCATGGCGCCTCGCCAGCAAATTGAGGTTTGGCAGTGGAACTGCAGGGGCTTTCGTCAAAAGCGGGGTAACCTGCAGTTGCACGTACAAAATCTGGACAGTAAACCAGACATAATAGCCTTACAGGAGGCTAGTGGTTCAGTAAAATTACCTGGATTTAAGGCATTTACAGCGCCAGGAACTGATTCAAGGGGCGTATCACGCGTCTTCACAGCCGTGCTAGTCCATCGCAACATCACTGCCATTCAGCATTCCGTAGATAGCAGCAGGGAAGACTATGTCTTGCTTGAGATTTTGCCTAAACGAAAGTATGAGAAGAGTCTGTTTTTACTTAATGTGTATAGTTCTCCAAAAGATAAAGGATTGGGCTTGCCACAACTCCTGATTCAAACTCAACGGTTAGCAGCTCGCGCTCCGCTTATAGTGGTAGGAGATTTCAATGCGCCTCACCCGGAGTGGGGTTATATTCGAGCCAGCCCAAAGGGCAATCGGCTTTGGCAAGTTGCCCGGGATCTGCGATGGACGCTGTTAAACAATCCACAAGATCATACGAGGATAGGCAACAGCGTAAGCATGGATACCTCCCCAGACCTTACGTTTTTTAGAGGCATCAGTAATGCAAAGTGGATTAACACGGGACAAGCGCTAGGAAGTGATCACTGTATCCTTTCCACGACGTTTAGCGCTGCGAAGCATAAAGACAAAGTGAGGGGGCATAGAATTACAGATTGGGACAGATTTAGGAAAACAGAGCAGACACTGTAAACGGGAAAATTAATGACCTGGATGCATGGGTACAGGCGCTCAAGGAGAATGTAAGTAATACCACGGTAGAAGTGCCAGTCGAGCAGGAAGAGTTTACCGCTGACTCGAGACTATTACACATGTGGGAAGCGCACGCGAGTCTCTTGAGAAGGTGGAAGAAGCAAAAACATAATGGCGTCCTTCGCAGAAGGACTGCCAAGTTAGAACGTAAAATCGAAAATTATACAATTGAGTTGCAAGCCAAGCAGTGGGGCCAGATTTGTGATCGCATGAATGGACAGTTTGGATGCAAAAAGACATGGCAGCTGTTAAGGCACCTTTTGGATCCGGCAGCAACAAAATCGGCGCAACGGGGGCAAATGACTCGGTTAATGCATCAATATGAAGGCACAATTGGAGAGTTTATACAGGAACTCCGGAATCGGTACATAACTGATGGAGTAGACGGTTGCTTGCCACACTACTCGGGGGTGGAAAACTCAGACCTAGATGAAGAGTTCACAATTGCGGAGGTGGAGTTTGCCATGGGGCAGCTGCGTACTACGTCTGCCGCAGGTCCGGATGGAGTTACTAATAAAATGCTGAGAAACCTAGATTTCAAATCGGTCGGGGCTATCACTGACTTGATAAATGAGTATTGGGTGGCCGGGGAGATCCCAGCACAATGGAAGCATGCTAGGATTATATTTATTCCGAAGCCAGGCAAGAAACTCTGCTTGGAAAACCTGCGCCCCATATCGCTGACATCATGCGTGGGCAAATTGATGGAGCACGTGGTTCTCAACAGGCTTCAGAATTATGCAGAAGACAAGGCCATCTTTCCCCCAACTATGATAGGTTTCAGGGCTAATTTGTCCACACAGGATGTCATGATACAGTTAAAACATGATGTAGTCAATCCCGGGCATGGCACGGGCACCAAAGCTGTATTGGGGCTTGACCTGAATAAAGCTTTCGACAATGTTTCGCATGAGGCAATATTGAATAACCTATCGGAAATTGGCCCAGGGGTCAGGACATTTCGCTACATCAGATCATTCTTGGAGGGCCGAACCGCAGAAATTTCAATAGGAGATATCAAATCGGACTCATTCGCGTTGGGAGGCAAAGGGACGCCGCAGGGTTCAGTTTTGTCACCGTTCCTGTTTAACATCGCCTTAATTAAAATACCGCCGAGGCTGGAGGAGATACCGGGACTCAAACACACATTTTATGCAGATGATGTTACTCTATGGGTAACCAGGGGTAATGACGCGCATCTGGAAGAAACACTGCAACAGGCAGTTAATATTGTCGAAGAGTTGGCAGGGGAGGCGGGACTTTCATGCTCTCAGCCAAAGTCCGAGCTCTTTGTGGTTCGGGACAAACCCAGAGGGCTACATGCAAGACACTATATTCCGCCACCGCCGTTAGAGGTAAAGGTAGGGGGTAGGCCGGTAGCTGAAGCTCAAACGATTAGAATTCTTGGCCTATATCTGCAAACTAACAGGAAGAATAGGGTGGCCCTTGAAAAACTTAAGACCACGGTCAATGCTACTGTCAGGCTAATCAGAAGAATCGATAACCGTAAAAGCGGGGTTAAAGAAAAAGAACTCTGTAAGCTGGTACAGGCGTTTGTGCTCAGCAGGATTACTTACGCGACACCTTATATGAAGTTGGATGCCGCAGAAAAAGGTAAGGTCGAGGCTATGATCCGGCAAGCTTACAAGGCAGCGCTTGGGTTGCCTAACAACGCGCCTACAGAAAGGCTGTTAAAACTAGGGGTACACAACACCCTGGATGAATTATGGGAGGCGCATCTGGTGATGCAGCACGCTAGGCTTTCGACAACCAAAGCGGGCAGGATTATATTGGAAAGG